TAGAAACCCGCCGCAGCAGCGCGCAGTGTCCGGGGAGCCGCAGTGGCCAGTGGAGCCTGCGTGGCCCGAGGGCTGCGGGGATCAGAGGGGCCCAGGCTCCCGCGCAGCCGCATCCGCCAGTAGCGCTCGGGGCGCCGGTGACATCAGCTCCCAATTGCCGCGAGAGCGGCCAAGGGGCGCCCAGGCGCGGTCGGTCCCTCTGGGACCCTGGCCCGGCTAGGGTCCAGTACCTGGGCGGCACAACCACTGAGACCCCATTGCGGTGGGATGGGACCTCTGGAGGTCCCTGTCACTCTAGAAAGGGCTCCAGGCCGCTGCACTGTGCTCCAGCTTCCAAAGGCCAGGAGTCGCCTCCCTGCCGCGTTGCATTTGCCCTCCAAGATGACCCTATGCCTGGGAGCATGGGAGGGGTTAGTGAATTAAACAGGAAAACGGGAGCTCAAAAGACCTAATGGAGCCCAGCTTGGACTAGCGGGGCTGGGAGCCAGGCACCTCCCCCATTTCCCCTCGGCCTCCAGCCCCAAATCCTCCTCTCCAATCGCCCCACGGCAGAAAGCGCCCTAGAAACCTGCCACCATCCTTCTGGGCAAAGGATCTCAGGAATCCTGGCCCAGGCTCTGGGTCCTTGTGCTTCAGCCGTCTCCCCTTACCCACACAGCCCATCCCCATGCATTTCACGTTCTTGAGAAAGAGCCTGAGTGGGGAGTCAGCTGGGCCCAGTGAGACCCCAAGGGACTGGAGGAAGATGAGTCATGGGCAGACGCCCCAGCACGCTGCCGCTGTTCAGCCCTCTGCAGACCTCCCTTCCCACCCCTCTGCAGACATCCCTTCCCACCCCTCCCACTGTCTTGTCCCTGACCTCCTGCTCTGTTTCTCACCACCTTCTGTTCCCTTCTTAATCTCCACCAGGGCTAAGTTCAAATCCTGGTTTAGAAACTAGATGAGCTGTGAGAATTTAACTCCTGAGCCTCAGTTCACAAACTGGGGAGTATTCCACTTCCTTCGTACCATTATCTGGGATTAAATGGGAAAGTATAACTCCTACCTGGATCTAGCATGTATTTAAACATGAGTTTTTGGGACCAGCAGTTAGCGTAATGGCTATGTCACTGGACTCCCACGTAGTTGACCACAGGTCGCGTCCCAGACCTGGTGGCTTAAAAACTCACGCCGGGCGCATGTGCGCGTGTGCCCAAGATCCTGAGAGGAGAATGGAGGAGAAGGGATTGCGTAGTGGCCATCCCCCCTGGGGGATGATTTCTCGCTTTCTCTCTTTCTCTCTGTTTGTCTGGCAAGCCCACGTGCCCTACAGCAAAAACCTCTCCAAAAAAAAAAGAAAAGAAAAAAAAAAAAAGAGTTTTCTCCCCTTGCAGCTTAAATCACCTCCTCCAGAAAGTCTTCTGGGGTTTGCTCTTCCAGGACTACCTCTTCTATCAACCCATGAAACATCAACAGGACTATCTCTTGAGTACCAGCTGAACTTGGTGGAGACAGAACACAACATCTTCAGTCTATGGCTGAAGGAGAGGCGGCCAAAGAGAAAACTACGCCCCTTCTCTGCCCTAGAACTCAGACAGGCCTCCTATGGAGAAAAATCACACTGGTTTAGGGCTGAGAGAATGGAGTGTAAACATTTAAATCCCTAGACCAACTCTGCCCAAGAAAGCCTGCAATGACTGAAAGCTCAGTGCTGGGAACGTGGCGAGAGCAACTAAGGAATCAAATGTTTATTTTATTTCATTTTATAACTAAAACCAAATTTTAAATAGCCATTCCTCACTACTAACATGGTCAGGGCAGATGACTAGGAAAACATGTGGGTTTTATCACATGTGCTAGCAACTGGGTGGTGTCAGAGTCCCCACAGGTTCACTGAGCACCTTTCTGCAAATTAGAAAAAGGTGACTCTCTTTGGGCGAACAAGTAAGATAAAGATGCCCCCTCCTGTGCCGCTGAAACCACTCCTGGCTGGTGCCTGTGTGAGGGACACAGCCCGCACCATTCATGCCACGGCTGTGCTAAGAGAGCTCCTGTGCTGCATCTGGGCTGGTTGATGAAGAGCTCTGTGACTGGGGACCGACAGATGGCATAACGGTGATACCGGTGGACTGCCATGTAGTTGACCACGGTTCAAGTCCCGGCCCTGACAGCTTAAAATTCAAGCTAAATGTGTGTGTGTGTGTGTGTGTGTGTGTGTGTGTGCTCAAAATCCCAAGAGAATGGAGGAAAAGAGATTGTGGTGTGGCCATCCCCCCTGAGGGGGATGATTTCTTGCTTTCTGTCTCTCTGTTTCTCTCTCGCCATCTCTCCAGTGACTGCACATGCCCTATAGCAAAAAGGTCTCTTAAAAAAGGGGGAGGGACCGAAAGGTGGCATGGTGGTTGAGAGTGCTGGACTCCCACAAGGCTGACCAAGGTTTGCGACCTGGACCTGGTGGCTTGCTTTCTCACATTCACGTTCTCTTTCTCTCTCTTTTATTTATTTTTTTTCCCTTTCTCTCTCTCTCTCTCACTCTGTCCTTCTCTGGTCAAATAAATAAATAAATGGGACCAGCAGATGGTGTAATGGTTATGTCACTGGACTCCCACATAGTCAACCATAGCTCAAGTCCCGGACTCGGTGGCTTAAACTCACGCCAGGCGCATGTGCATGCGTGCCCAAGATCCTGAGAGGAGAATGGAGGAGAAGGGACTGTGGTGTGGCCATCCCCTCTGGGGGGTGATTTCTCACTTTTGTCTCTCTGTCCCTGTCTTGTCTTTCTGGCAAGTGCACGCGCCCTATAGCAAAAAACGCTCTTAAAAATAAACAGATAAAGTTCAAAAAAAAAATTTTTTTAAAAGGAACGCTGTGACTAACTAGCAGTGTTTACTATGACCCAGGGAGTGGGCTGGGGATGACCCATGTGCTGATCTAGGCTGCAATCCTGCCTCTGCTCCCTCCGCAGCAGCCCCGTCTGCTCTGGGCAGTCACTTAGTGCTATCTCCCTCCTCCCGGCCCAGTGAACAGCCACTCCACGTTGCTCAGCCACACCTGAAAGCATCCTAAGTCCTGTCCGGCCATCTCTCTTGGCCTCACCCCTCATGTCCAACCCATCAGCACGCTCTGTCAGATCTCCCACCCCATCTGACATCCATTCCCGCCTCCCCCTCTCCACCATGAGCACTGTAATGGGAAGGAGAGAGGGACCACCAAGTTCACTCCCCTGGGACTCTAGTGACCTCTTGCCTGGGGGTCCTCTGCCACCTCTCATGCCTACCTCTCCCGTCGGCCCCCTTGCCTCTAGCCTGTTCCCAACAGCAGCCATCATTTAAAAGCATTACCCCTGATGGGGCTGGCAGGTGGCATGGTGGTTAGGGGCGCTGGGTTTTCACATGGCTGACTGTGGTTTGAGTTCCCAACCTGGTGGCTTGCTTTCTCACTTTCTTTCTCTCTGGTCAAATTAAAATAAACAAGCAAATGAACAGGTAAATAAAGTCAAGTAAAATAATTTTTTACAAAAAGCATTACCCCTGCTGTTGGGCCCTTCTAGAGTAAAATCAATTGCCTTCTCATGGCCTTCAAGGCCCTGCCCCATCTGGCCTCCACTCATCAGCTAAGCCCCAAGTACTAACTATATCCCTGCCTCTCTTTCCCACAGACATAACATCCTCATCTTCTAAGGACCTTTGCCCTTGCCATGCCCACTGTCTGAAAAGCCTTCTCTGATCTTCACATGTCTTCCAATCCCTCTGTTCTCTGCATGAGAACTCCTCACAGAGGCTTCCCTGACCTCCACATCCAACACTGCCTCCCCACCTAATTCTGATGGCATCCCCACTTTCATCATAACCATACTTTCCCTGTGGGACGTACCTGTGTTTGCATATTCTGTTCTTCCACTAGAACGACCCTTTTCTGTCTTGTTCACTGAGGTATCCATGGTCTTCAAAGGACCATAGCATGTGCTCAATGACGTGTTTCTGAACGCGTAAATGAATAAGCAGCTCCCTGCCATCTCCAGGGCTAGCAGACTCCTCACTCCTGGCCCAGACTCCCTCTCCCCTAGTGAGCCTCCATCCTTCCCACAAACTTCTTGCACACTGAACGCTCTTCTCCCCAGATCTACAGTAAGAGGAGCCCCAGAACACATGCTCGCATCTCTCCACAGAGCACCAAGCAGTGGGTGTGAAGACCCCGCTGCCCACAGGAGCTCTGGCCAGCACAAGTGGGCCTGGATGCACATGCAGCACCAGTGCAGGGCACACACAGAACCACTGGCCCCTCTCCCCACTGAGCAGCCCTGCCCTCCCCGCAGCCCCAGCAGGGAGAGGTGTGCTCCTGGGTGGGGCATTACCTCCAGGCTGAGTGCCATCTGCCGGATGTAGAGCATATTCAGGTCCTCCAGGATGTGCAGTCTGTCCTGCATCTCTGCGCCCCCAAGTGCCCCTTCCCTTGTGCCCCCCTCCAGAGGGGGGCAGGCAGGCACTGCACTGTCCCACAATTCCTTCTCCCACTGCTCCCTGGTTCTTGAAAGAGGTGGTCAGCTCTTGGGCAGAGGGCAGAGGCTGCCCCTGTCCTTCTATACTTCAGTTAGACAACTTTGGCTGCTGTGACAAATTTGCCTTGCCTACTGCTGTGCCAAGGCCTTGGTGGGAGCCAGGCAGGGGAGGAAAGGAAAGTGAGGTGAGGATGAGCAGGGTCCCAGGAGGAGAGGCCAGCTGCCGCAGGGGCTCTGTGCACAGTGTCCAGTCTTGCTTTGGTGGCAGCTGTACTCCCAGCTGTGGAAGAAAAAGGCCCTTTCATTGGCACTCCAGCCCCTCCCCAGCCCCCGCCCACATCCCTGGCCTCGTGGACAGAGAATCTGTGCATAGAGGGCAGTGAGGGGCACGCGCCGCTGGAAGGGGGCAGGGAGGGGACTCGGCATGCAGCTTCTCCAGAGTCCTGCGGTTGTCAGTTAGCGCTTTCTGAGAGGGGCTCACGCTTAGTTGCAGAAAGTTAGGAAGAAAAGTGACTTAGGCGAGGACTTGAGGGAGAGAGCGAGCCCAAGGAGTGGGACAAAGGGACGAGTGGGTAATGCAGCCGGCTCCCAGGGCAACCTCTTGCAACGCGGGGCCCTCATCCAGCCCGCCCCACCCTGGGCTCACAATTACCTCGTTTTTCCAGCAGAAAAGAGGAGAGGGAGGGAGAAAGGCAGGGGTGTGCCTGTCTGCTGCTGCCCCCGCTCCCCTCTGCGGGCCCCTTCCCTTCCAGACAGGAAACCGGCCCCGATTCCCAGCCAGCTGCAGCTTTGCCCTCCACCCCCACCCCAGGCCCACGGAGTCACACTCCGCTAGGCGGCCTTAAGGCCCTGCGACTCCGCCCCCGGCTCAGCTCCGCCGCTGGCCCCCAGAGGCCGCTGGGCAGATCCTAGGGGCGGCCCCAACTCGCAGGCCCCTCCTCCGGGTCCCTGGGCCTCGCCCCTTACTCCCCCACACTGGCCCCACGCGGGTTCTTCAGGCGGAGTTGCTTGGAGGGGCAGGAACTCGACAACGGCCCTCTCTCCCAGATCCACAAGCTTCTGAGTCAGAGACAGCCTGGGACACCGGGACACGGGTGTGAAAGGGCCTTTGTTCTGGCAGGCCAGAGGGAAAGGGCAGAAGCCAGGCCAGGAATCCCAGCTGGGTGGAAGAGGGGGCAGAGGAAGGCCCACCTCACTTAACCCTTTCCAGGCCCGATGGGAAGGAGAGTTTGAAATCGGGTTGTCCTTGGGCAAGTATGAAGCTGACCTTGAGCCCAGAGGCGTCTTTGGGCTGTCTGGCTAATCACCTTCTCAGTCTTGACTCAACCACACACCTTCAAGCCCCTCCCGAGCCTCTTTGGAGAGTCCCAGGTAGGACTCAGCCACTGGCGATGTGTAGACGGCTGGACTGGAGTGGAACACTCGGCCTAGAGGCTGGACCCCTCTTAGGTCCCAGGAAAGGAGGCCGAACGTTAGAGTGCGGAAAATAGCCCCGAAGAGTTAAGAGGGAGGCTCCGGCTCTCCCAGAACTTAAGGGGGCACAGAGGCGCTGCTGGGGAGGGCTTTGGCGAAGTGGGCAGACCTGGCCTGGAAGGCTATTTTGATGACAGACGCCGGCGCTGAATTTGAGTCAGGCTGTGGAGTGGGGTTGGCGACGGAGGAACAAGCGGGCCGCCAGGCCAAGAATGCAAGCATTTGGGGCTCGCCTAGCTGCCCACCGCCCCTTGCCCGGGGATGCCCTGGAGAGGCGAGGGCCCAGGCACTTTTCAGGAATCCAGCCTTGGACTCAAATCATGACCAGCCCGGAGTTGCTCCAGGCAGAGGCCAATCACCCCAGCGCGGGGCACGGATCTGATGAGCGCGCGCTGGGCCCGCACTTTCCTTTGCGCAGCTCCGGCAGGTCTGTCCCCAGCCGCGGCGTGCAAGGCGGTGGCGAGCGGCAGAGGCAGCACGGGGGGCGTTG